TATGTGAGTTTAATGGAAGTCAGTGAACAAAGTAATCAGAGTTTTGAAAAAGGACGTCAAACCTCAAAGCGGACCTCATAATTCATGGAGTAACATTCAATCCGAACAAGGCCTCTCCTAGTGAAATCCTTTAAGTTCCAGTTCCAAAGCTTGATAATGGGGTATAACTTGTGCTTGGATCATTCGCACTTATCTTCGACCTGACAGTGAGTGGACATACAATTTATTTCCTCGTAAACAACCTATCAAGAGCTCTTGTTGATCGACTTACTGTGACGTTTGCAGGAGAAATCGCGCAGGACACTGATGGTTATGATTCATTTCAGCTCTATGAGGACCTCTTCTTGACTTACAGTGAAACAGCAAGCATTTTCAGAGAAGAAAAATGTTCTGTTGTGAGGGGATCTGACCTAAAAAAAAGTTTAAGCACTATCCCTCATTCCTGCAGTTTATGTCTCGTAGAAGAGAAGAACAAGTTCCCTTATTGACTTCCTTGGAACATTGATGCTCTCATTGATTATCGTGCCAGAAACCTTATCTATTGAGATTGTCTTGAGATGAGTGGAATGTTCGTACACGAATCTCTCTCCATTTTTGTCGTTAGACAAGGCCTTTCAGCGAGTTTTTGACAGTTAAAGACTTTATACTCCAGCTGGATGTTATTCAATGCAATAAGTAGACATCCATGAAGGTGGTTGTCAATAAAAGACCGAAGCTATCTCCAGTATAAAAGTCTGGTGAATTCATCATGCGGTTCCCCTTCCCAAATCTTCTATGGACTTCTTCCTACATATGTCTTGTCTTCTTGAAAGCATCAAGTTCAGGAAATGTGAAATCTCACATTAATGATGCCGATCGATACCATGAATTTCACGGGTGATATTTTGAAATCATCGCCAGAAATCGAGGACATTTTGCTCCCGCATTCATTTGTCAGCGGATTGCAGTCGGATGAAAACAAAGATGGCGGTCAAGACAAATTCCATATAAAATATTGAACGATTTAAGTTCTGTGGACCTTCTTTATGGAGAAAAAAGCAAAAGAAAGACAACTTTGAACTGATTTCTTGGTATTTTTAAGGCAGAGCACTTATAGCAATTTGCTGTCTGATATAATGCAAGGGACTCTATCTACTAAGCTTTAATGTCCACTCAAGCTGGCTTTTTTTTTAATCGTCTAAGATGTCAGACATTTTGGAAATTGTCACTTAAACCACTTGCATTAAATAATGGGAAGATCTAGACAAATCGTACTTGAAAAGGGCTTTTTCTCCCAGTTGAAAACAAAGTTCAACGAACGTACTAATACAGATTTCTCTGATCTGCTTCTTAATTTTCGCGCGAGAAAATTT